TTGAATACATCCCAACCCCCCCCCAAACCCTGGTGGCAGAGATATTTGATCCCAGGTTCCTACTCCAATTAGTCAAAGAACCTACCAACTAGAGCCACCATCAGTTGGTACCAATTGCACCAGTTAGAAGAACTGTTACACATTGAAAGGGCTAGAAGAGCTTGGGGTAGACCAAACAGGACATGGGTAGTAGTAAGGAATTATTTAAGCACTAATAATTTAACAGTGGATATGACTTGTATAGAATGGATTGGAAAAACAGGATTCATGTAGCTGACCCCATATAGTTGGGATAAGGCATGGACAATGATGATGATGAAAATGAAATTGCTAATGGGTTGGTGAAGGAAGAAAATGTTAGGGATGAACTGCTTCCATGTAATAAAATGTTCAACTACATTTATCTTACAAAGGTTAAAAGGAATGATCCTTGTCAACCGCTTCTATTAGTGTGGGGAGGATGAAGAATCAACCCAGCATCTCCTTGTTCTTTGCAGCTACTCTTACAAGGTGTAGTCCCATGTTTTAAGACTGTTTGGTATGAGTTGGGTGACCCCTCCAGAACACCTCTCTCTAATGTCTTGTTGGCATGGGCAGGCCTTCTCTAAGAGGGATAAGGTCTTGTGGAAAGTCTCTCCCATGGTGGTTTGTTGGTGCATTTGGAAGGAGCAGAACAGCTGCTTGTTTGAAGATCGAGTTTGTCCTTCAGAGAAAATGTTTATGATTGTTGAAAGTATTTTAACTTTGGCAGCTTCTTCCAATCTGAAGCAGCAAGTTCAGTTTCTAATGAGATCTCAAGTATGGCTTTCTCCAAACTAGTTCTGTAACTGATTAAGATTAACCATTAGTAACATCACAATTTTTTTTCTAATTCCTAGATTCTGGCAGCTATGTGCTTATGCCTATCTTCTATCACCTAGCATCAAAGATTCCTATTTTCACACTGTTAATACTCATCTCAAATAGAATTTCATTCATGAAAGATGAAACACAAGAAACCAAGTTCTAAAATTCTCATGTCCAGATATACATTTAGTCATCAATCACAATATCTTAGCATATTAACCTTCGCAGCATCTTACCCTTTCAGATTCATATACATTCATGATCTTGACCAACTCCTGAAAAAACACCACTACCAAATACCATATTGCTACTGTTAATCAATATCTTGAAACTCAAGGTAACATGGGATTGTTGCCGACCTTGCACCTCAAAGCAACCATCAATACCACACAGTTTTCCACCTCATAATTACCAAGAACCTCATTTTTGGTGGAATTTATTCTGAACATCAGTACAGGATGACAAATTAAAATTATCGTATTGCATAAATCTCAAGTATCATATATTCAAACTGGGATTACAAAAGAATATTAAGTTATAATGGTTCACAGGAAAGGAGATAGAATTCCAAGGGTTAATTTTGGGATTTGGGAAAGGCTTGGGAATATTCCTAGGGTATGTAGTTTATCCAGCCCTAAGGATAATATAGGGCTTGTGTAACCACCTCTAACTATCAGAGAAATTGAGTATCGACCCCAGGGCAGCTCTTACATAAGTTTAAGGTGGTTCAGAGATGCCTTAGGGCTTATCCATTTAACCTGTGGATGAAAGAATGTTTCTTTCTTCATTTGGAATAGAGCAACATGAATCAAGGAATAGAGCAGAAAAATGCAAAATAGGTTTCAGCAAGAAAGAATCCAAGAAGAATTTCAGGGCTGGATATGTCAAGTAAACAAGAAGATTCAAGGAGAACAGCAAGAACTTGCAAGGGAATCAAGCAAGAATGCAAAGAAAAAATAACTAATCGAAATCAATCAATAAAAGACCAAGACTAAAGACAAATCATTTAGATGGGTTAAAAGAGGATTTACAAGTGGCGATAGGCTGGATTAAAGGTGGAAGTGATGTCCCTTGGGTGCTCAGATGTCAATTTGTGAAGGCTAAATTTCTTTCTAGCAGTTTAAACATGCCATTTAGATGGTTAAAACATCTGCCAATCTTTAACATATCAACTTGCTATAAAAGGGGGATACCTGGTAGCACTTCATCCAGAACCTACTAATAGAGAGTAGGTTCACGGGTATGTTTGTAATTTGGAGTGAATGAGCCTCTTGCCTCATTTTGCATACTTATTATGTGACCTTTTATAGCAAATTCCTTCAGAAGTATTAATGATCAAAACATAAAGTCCAAAATCCAAGAAAGAATGCAAAAAAAAAATAAAGTGGTTTCCTACCAAATGACTTTTGTGAGTAAACACGACTACGGATCTATGATGCACATACACCTGTACAAGGGTGCTATATCATATCATAGTATTTCAACTTTAGTATAAATTCCATACTTGACACCTCATCCAGTCATGCCCTCATCATATCTGAGTAGCATAGCTACAGTACTAACACAGATAGAGGATACGGAGACAGAACTCCATTTCCTAAATTCCTAGACACTTTTTTCTTGAAGAGTAATAAAGAAATTTTATTAAAAGGAAAAAAGGTTAGAAAGAGGTGACAAGATGACACCTCACCAATACAAAGTAACCAATGCCTAAAATATACATGGTAATCACTTGCAATTCTGAAATTCAAGCACATTTTAAAAGTTCTCCCACAAATCTGATCTGCTAATCTGTTCAAACTCGGGGAATACCAGAAACCAGTGCCCCTACCCGAAAATTCTTCTTTCAGTTTCATATTGAACGACTCCCAATTTGTTTCCTGTAAAAGAACTGCCTCCGGTCTGTACAGCCTAAAAAAGCTCCTGACCACTACTCTTTTTTTCCCTCAGACGCCTATTATTCCAACTCAATATCCTCAACCTTGACCCACTCCCTGACCCCTAATACAAGTTAATCTTCAACTCCTTACAGAACCTCTTCCAGCACCTCCTCCTCTGATCCTCTCCCCCTTCTTCATCCCAAGTTCCCAACCTCTGTTCTTTGTTAGACTTCCTCTCTCATTGTTCTCTTCCCTCGGCCTTCTCAAATTGTTCAGAATCCCTCCTTGCAAAATCTTCTCCTGCCCAGAAAAACAATCCCAAAGATTTACCCACTGGCCACTGCCACCTCCTTCTCAACCAAAGTATCGATTTCCAGACCTCCCTCATGGTTCCAATACCCCTTGCTCCCCTTCTCTTCCCTTCACTACTATCTCTTTTTCCTCCCTCTGTTCCTTCAAACAATCTTTCCCATGCTTCTCTCCTTCCTTCTCCCCTTCCATTCCGGTGTCAAGACCCCCTATTTTTCTTTTCCTCTTATACACTTTCCTTCTTGTCCGCCCCCCCGCCTCCTCCACAGCCTTCCTCTTCCTACTACCAGCCCCTTCTTCTCTAGGTGTTCCCCTAGAAGGCTCTCTGCTCCCTCCTTCTCAACCAAAAGCCTATTAGTGATAGGCATACATACCTCTTTCACTAGGTGCTTGTCAGACCCCTTCACGCACTCTACATCGACTTCCTCTGTTATCGGTTCTGCAGTTTCTTCCACCGATTGTGATTTTAATAAGGATAACAGCACTCCAACTGCCTGCGCTGGAGAGGTGGACAACAACGACACAGGGCAGAACATATAATACCTAGCAGTGACTATGACATCCTTCTTAAAGTGTCAGCTTTCCCAAGTCTTTCCTTACCTTGTAGACCTCCCTCATTGCAAAGTTTTATCTTGCCTGCAGCTAGGACAATGCCTCCTCCCTCGTTGCAAAGTTTTATCTTGAGATCCCCTACTTCGTTTACCAAGCCATCATCAACTCCTTCTGACTGCAGTAATTCTAAAGTAAACACAACTCCTGCCACTACCTGAGAGATGCTGATTTGTGACAACATAGAGCTCATCTCCCAAAATCTGAGCCTCTGCATTTTGGACCTGCTTCTGAAGCTATAATCCCTTCCCTTTCCTTGCCTTTTCTTGAGTTCCTTCTTCACTTTGATCTCTTGTTTTATCCGCCTCTTCATGTCTTTGTCTGCTGCTCCGCAGTACTTCCAGTATCTTCTTGGCTCCCTCAAACCTGGAAATCACAACCCAATCTTCCTCTTGCAGTTTCGATGTTCCTCCCATTTTTTTTCGAAAAGCTCTTATTGGTGTTTTCCAATAATACCCTTTCCTCTTATAATCCTCAACCCATTCAGTCGAAAGCTTAGGTTTGGCCATATTCAACCCACCACTACTTATGCAGGCCCTACCCCATTTCAAGTCTCCACTAACATCTCCCACCACTTGARCCCCTTCATCTCCCTTCTTTTCGACCCATGACTTTTGGTCTTCCYTTTTCTTACATTCCTCCCCCATTCCACGTGTCTACCCCTGTTCCTTTCCACATTCCCCCCTTCCTTCAAAAATTCCATCTTTACCCTTCTCCCCCCCCCCTCATCACCTTCCTTCGAGTGATTGTTCGTCTTCCCATCCTCTGATCTAGCATCTTCGAACCCATTTTCTCTCGCACTTACCCTCTCTCCCTCACCCTCCATCTTTCTTTCYGTTCCCCTGACCATAACTCAGAGCCGTGCCATCTTCTCCTTCAACAATGGGCCTCAGCTCATAGAATTCCCCTACAAACTCTAGCATCGTATTTGGAATACCTGAGACATCCTGCACTTCCACCAACAATCTTGCCCTGACCAACCTATCCCAGGTTCTGTTTTTATCGTCAAATTTCATCAGCCTTCCACAGTGCTTCCCAATTTCCTCAAAGTAGCTATGCTCCAAGCATGCAAAGGGATCCCCATGACAGCAATCCAGCCTTCCACACTGTTATTGACAATAGACATCCCCATCTGGACCTGATATGCTAATACCATGATTTTATGCTTAGTTTTAACCTAGGTATCATTTCTGATATTTATACCTCATCAAATTTAATTAAACTTCTAACATATATAAATCTTTTATTGTATAATTTGATAAGATGTAACAGTTTCATAAGGCTCATGTCATAAATATACTCTAGAAGTGTATATCATGTCCAATATAGGTACACTAAGCATAAAGAGGCATCCAGGCATGAGAGAACTTTGGCTATTTGGAGAAAACGGCCTAGGCTGTTTTAAAGCTTCATGTACATGCACGTTAGCATGGATACAGGGTAAAAAAGTAATTGCAATCAATATTCTTTTAATTAAAAAGAAAAACAAGGGACTGAATGGGGTTACTTGTCTTGTGCAGAAAGCCCCCAAACAGACCAGTCTGTTTTTTTCCAAAACAGCCAAAGCTTTTCCTCCAGTATTATAGTTAAAGGTAAAGGAACTGGAAATTTTTATTGTATTACAAGCACAAAACAGGTATTAATAAAAAAACAAAAAAAAAAACAGAAGTGACTAAAGATGGTAAAAATCTAGAGCTTAACTACCAAAGATTAAATGACATTTCTACCGATAAAGATATCTGAACCATACCATTTCTTGACGGAGTTTCTGATTTTGTTGAAGAGCAGATGATTTCTCCTCGGTCAACTTGGAAATCAAAGTTAATGCCTGAATAATAAAAAAGAAAAAAAAAAACTTATTAGAAACTGATATCTACAAAAAACAAACAGTTTTTTCAATGAAAGCACATACTGTAGAAACTGACACAGCATGCTCAGAGGCGAAATATATAGTCCAAAACAAAACAAAAAAAAAAAAAAGAGGAAAAGCAAAGTCAATAGGCACCACATGTTTCCCAATAATCATTAGCTTAAAGTTATAAGCTGTATTTGGCATTTTCCACCAATAGCATGTTATACTCCAAATGGTAAAAGCATCCCTGAATACATTAATGAAGTCTTTAACTTTCACAATCTGACATACAAGTTCAATTTCTTGCATCATGTGAAACAGTGAAAGTAAAGGGTAAAAAAAATTGCTCTGATGTGCTTCATAATAATTGTAATTCTATTAAAATGAAACCATACATGGGAAATGGCCACTAGTCCTTTTTATGGGTAGTCCATTATTAATAACACATAAATGGAGTGACATTTAACAAAGAATAATCCAGTGGAGGTAAATCAACATTGGATAATATATCTTAAGTCCTTGTAAATATGTAAGACTGTAAATTTGGGTGAATGTTCAATTTGAACCATCAATTAAGTTCATTGCAGAAATTAACAAGAAGCATAAAAATGCAATTTCAAATAGAAAACCCAGCACAAAAATAGAACTAATTGAAAAAAAAAAAAAAAAAAAAGAGAGACAAGAAATCACCTATTGCCTGAGATGTGTACCTTTCCTCAAGGAAGGTACAATTCAAAATATGCAATAAAAATATAAAAAATAGGGAAAATCTATGATGCCGGAAAGGTATGGTACCGGAAGAGCTTTGACCAATTAAAGAACCCCATGAATTTTGATTAATACCACCTGATTGGTCACCTCTTTTATGATACCAGGTGATTGGCTGCAAGTTTTTCTGGTATCATGTCTTTCCAGTATCATAGTTGAACCCTTAAAAATAAAAAAGATACCAACAGTAGAAATATAAAAGATTAAGAGAAATTATAGGAAAAGAAAAAATTCATTGTGAACAGCATCAAATGAAAACAGTAAACATTTGGAGAGAATAAATGTGCATGACAGGAAAACAGAGATGGGGCTGTCAACAGGTCTGAATTTGATCCAATTATGTCAGATTTGGGTGTCTGTTAAATACAACCAAATTGGATTTAGGATGTTCAAAATATTATTTGATTAATAATTGGATCTAAACTTGAATTTAGGTTGATCCAATTATATGCCTGCCCCTCTGAAAGTATATTTTCATAAGAAATAAAAATATTATGTATTGGTAATTTATGTAACACTGGGCTAGAAAGGCATGTCTCATCAACCAAATCTAGTTTAGTCATAAATATTATCAACCAAATCTCAAATGATGAACACCATAACAAGGCATTAATATTGGCATAATTATATTATATAACTTCTATTATATATCCAAAAAGAACCCTAGAAATTCTTCTATATGAAGGAGCTTCCTCTTTCTCTACTGTTTGACATGACATTAACCAAAAAGAATGCTAGGAGTTTTTTTTTTCTTGCTTATTGGTATTTGGCTAGGTCAGCTTGGTTGTTCTGACTTCTGGATGCAGATCATGAAAATGATGTAAATTTCAATCATACCACAGTATGTCAAAATAGCATACTATGCCTGTGGCAATTTGAACTAGTTTCCTCTGGATTGGACCAGGTGATTCACCCAACTTTTTCATTAGGTCAGTTGGACTAGACTTGCTTAAATCTAGGTTAGAATACATTAGGTGTGCATTTGCAGAGATCTGTTTTGACTTTTCTGTGCTATGATACCCAGATACCTTCCAATCAAAAAATACCCAGATACCTCAATGCTTAGTGCACCAACACCAAACATAAAATGTACCTGATACAACACCAAATACTTCATGGGCACTTCTAGAGTAAACTTACGAGCATGAATCCTTCTGAAAATACGCAAGTAGTATATCTTTAATAAATCATACCATGAAAAATATGTAGATATTAGGAGCTTCATTAAAAGTTACAACAAATATGTATGCACTAATATTTAACTTAAACTAAAACTAAAGCATGATAACACCATATCTCATGGGACACCAATACCTGTATCTAGATCCTCAACCTTGAGAAATGGAATAATATCCCACTTCTTATATCAGTATCCATATCTATACATCTTACATTGTCTTTCTAAAACTGGTTAGTCAATTCAATGTCACCAAACTGCTTTTATTTAACCATGCCCTCTTTGCATATTCACTATCATGCTAATGCAATCAGTTCTAGCCAAATGATCAAGGGTACCAAACCAGATATGCATGAAAGTAGGGATGTAAATGGATCAGATTCAGATCGGATCCAGCTACAGCCACATCCAATCCAATTATCAAACCTTTTGATCCAAAATCCGATATGTCAGGCTCAGGTAGGATTCAGATTTAATCCACGTTCATCTTATTGAATTTAAAATGGAAAAACAATTAACAAAGTTTAAAAAAAAAAAACAAATTATTTTTAACTTATACATGTATAAAAATGTATATAAATATAAAATATTAAATTTATCAGTAATGAAATTTATATAATTGTATATAATATCTCTATATATACACACAATGACACAATTAAACAAAATATCTATAAAATAATAGCTTTTTATCAGACTTGGAATTTAATCAGATCAGATGGGATTAAATCTGCATCCAATCCGATTATTAATCGGATGCAAGTTCTAACATCCAACTCCAGGGTAATCAGATCCAGAGTCAAATCAGGTATTGTACTTTTGGAGTCCATTGAAAGCCGTGCATGAAAGTTGATTCATCAACTTGATCACCCAAACACACAGAGATATAGCTTTTCATGCAACATAACAAGATTCAACAACCATACTTCAGCCCAAATTAAATATTTTTGAACCCTAGATATTAAATTATTTATTAACATGTAAAAGGAAAGATTTTCTTTCAACCCCTTTTTAATTTGGGAACTCAAAGGCAACTCCAGAACCCTCAATCCAAATCCATTAGTTGACACTTTATGCCTCATACAGTTGATGAGAACTAAGGCTGTGTCTGGCTTGGGGCAGAAGTGGCAACACACGGTAGAAACATGCTTCATAGAACAATTTTGTTGTTCATCTATAAAAGAAGATCTTACTGAAATATGAAGAACAGCAGAAAGTTTAAAAGAAAAACGAAGCAAAAAGGAAAGAAGAAAAAGGACAAAATCCTTAAGCACTATAGGAAATAATAACTTTAATAAAGGAGAAAAGTTTCTGAAATACTTCTAGTGCTCTTTCCTAGCCCAACAGAAAGCCCAAAGGGAGAGAGAAGGAAGTACTACTAGAGAACAAATGAGCTAAGCTGTACATCCATAGGACAGTTAAATGGGATCTCATTCAGTTCAAATCATGGTCCCTTCTACCCTCTAATTTCTTGATCTATCATATAGAAACTTAGGGAGTGCTCTGTACCGTGGCCAAAAATAGTTTGGTGTGTTCCAAGCTACTAGACCCCACTTTGGTGTGTTTGAAATGGTAGGCTTAGAAACTCACCACACCTTTGATAATGTTCTGCACCATGGTGGTGTGGTGTGTTCCAAAGTAGGGGTGAAGCATTCAGTTTATTCGGTTAAAAACCGAACTGAAAAAAAATAAATACCGAACCGAAACTGAATTTTAGAAAAATCAAAATAACCAAAACCGAAAACCAAATTTTAATAATATATACTATATTATATATATTATAACATATAATATATATTATATATTATAAAATATATATTATGAAATCAAATTTCATTATATTCATATATTAATATATAAATATATAACATATTATATATTATATACCAAAGTTCGACTTATTCGGTTAACCGAATTTTTAATTCTAAAAACCGAAACCGAAATATTCAAAAACCGAATTAACCAAAAACTGAAAAACCAAAACCGAAATTTCCGGTTCGTTTTTTCGGTTTTAACCGAATAATGCTCACCCCTATTCCAAAGCATTGGGATTTGAAATACAAGTATATTTTCAAAATATACTAAATTAATGTTTATTGAGTGTCCCAAGGTGTGGTGTGTTATGGAACACAAAATTTTGGTGTCTTCCAAAATCTGCAATATTTTGTTGTCCAGAACTGAACTCCGCCAGTTCTAGAACACAACACAACTTGAAAGAATATGTGTTTTCTACAGTGCATTCTAGAACCAAACAAAACGGGTATCTACCACAGTACCAAACACCGCCTTAATCTGTAACCTTACTTCCTTGCACAAGTTTTAACTCCTTGAACCAAGGCAAATCTTGGAAAAGGAACCTCAAGCAAGAAGTGATTTTCCTTGGAGGCTTTTAGATAAAGAAAATTTCTCAAGTGCATTATGCAATAAAATCCATTAGTAAAGTGTAATGCTTCACTAAGAATATATATAGTCCAACATTTATTTGGTTTTTTCACCAAAAAAATAACATTTATTTGGTTCTGTGGTCAGCAAATTCAACAAGTTGTCTACCATTGGCTTGAAAGCTACTGCATATAAGGCAACGTACCTTCAAATGCAAACATCAAATGCCAAAATAAACAATAATAGTAATAAGATTACCTCTGAAGATCTCTCTTTGGAATCCTCAGTGTTTTGGTTTCCATTCTCTAGGACAGATGCCCTTGGGGAAGATCCTTCTTCAGATCCTTCAGGTACCGGTGAGGGGGGATTAGCGGGAATATAAACCACCCTCAATTTAAACTCCTCCACAACTTTCCCAGCCTCTTTATTGAACTAGGATATCATTTCACACCAGTTATGAATCATTAGAAGCAAAAGCCAGAAGAATAAATCAATATAATAAAGTTTGCAGGGGAAAGAAATTCTACCATCTCTGGTGTTATGTCCTTTGTAGTTGCACCATTAGGGGCGGCAACGCTCTGAAGAAGGAATTTATCCTTACATTGCATATCAGGTGGGGCTTCCTTTTGGGCTTGCATTGTCACTAGAAGGAACCAAGACCAGCAACCGGTAACCAATAAGAAGAAGCAATTAATAGAATCGTGCAATAAATTAGCAAGAAGAACTATATATAACCTAAAAAAACTAGCAACCCTGAATAAGAACCACCCGCGAGTAGAGTCAGTAGACATTGAAGCTTACCTGTGACATCACATGTTGTCCCAGGCAAGACAATTCCCGTATTGGGACGCACGCAATATTTCTTCGGGTTAGTTGTTTTAACCTTCCATTTACAGAATTAATGAAAAGATCATGTTCAATCGTTACTACCCAAGATTATGAAAAGCAAAAGAAGGAAAAAAAAGGGGGAAAAAAAGACAAGGGAATGCAAAGAGAAAATACCTTGAAGGCAACATACTGTTCGGTTTTGTTAGTCAATTGCAGAGAACATGAACTCTGCTTCTTCAATTCGACTTCTCAACAGAAACAACACAAGCAAAATAGCATGAAAGAGAATTAGACCCATAAAATTTAATAAGCGCATCAGCAGTGATTCATGCAAACAAAGAAATTTATGACACAGATGATCTAGGGCAAGCAATTCGGTGCAAAAAAAAAAGTAACAAGCATCCACATTCACCATTAAGATCCCTGAGGGAGAAAGATCTAAAGGTAGCTGATGAATTGATTAGAGAAAATGGCAATAAAAACTAAATGAGGACGAGAAGTATATGATCACAAACTGGGAATCCCAGGCAAAACCACCTACTTACATGGAAATTTGAGCTCGGAAGGTTGAATACTGAGAAGATCTCCGCCACTCATACCTAAACGCCCAGCTTCACCAGACGAAATTTCGAATTTCTGGGTGAATTTCGATTCTGGTAAGAGATCGAATGAGGGTTTAACAAGAACAAAGGAAACAGTTTTTCTACTTTTTTTTCTTGTTCTCTCTTTGCTTTTCTCGTTCTTGCTATCTTCGCCTTTTTGGAGTTTGAGTGGCGGATCTGAAAAACCGGCAGAGAGAGAGAGAGAGAGAGAGGTCAGAGGATTATTACTTATTAGGGCATTTGGGATTTGGGACCAGGAATTATTATTAGACTCTGGTGAATTTAATAGCAAAATGTACCCACCATCACAACCCAACCGGTCATGCCGATTGACTAAAATACCCCTTTACATATCTTCTATTTCTATATTCTCTCACTCGAGTATTAAAGGCAGAACGGGTAAATAACACAGAGATTGGTGGTACTCTCAACTGTCCAATGGTACGTGGTGTGCATATGAGCCACACACACGGAGAAACATATAAAGAATTATTTATTTTCTGAATACAAATAAAGGAAGGATAAATCGCAAAAAAAAAAAAAACTGTACGTTGGAAGTTGTAAGAATTGGCACCCAATGAAATAGGAGTGTTCACGGATTCGATCGGTTTCGGGCTGTGTGGCCTGAACGGATTTGGTCGGGTTGAGAAATGGTCATTCAAAATCGATTGACTATTAGTAAAAACTGTTAATTTGGGTTTTAGATTACAGTTTAAAATATTTAAAGTTTAAAAAACTATAACAATATTATTAAAAAATAAATTTACAATATATAATCTTGAATTATATGGGAATTTTTTTCATTTTTCCATAATAAAAAATTAAATTTAAAATATAAAATATAAATATATCTATGTGTTCGGGTCGTACCCTAGCCCGGCCAAAACTGCCATGTGCACGCCTTTGTGGCCGATGTCCTCAGATCATGTCAACGGATCAGTACGCTGCCAATTAAGAAGGGCGTACAACCACGTAAACAGGGACCTCCCGTTGGGGAAGGTGGAGGCCTCCGAAGACTTCGACTGGCAGCCTCATCCCTACAACCCCACAAGGAAGGTGTCTGGGTACAATGCAGATATTCAACTATTTAAAGGCATCTCCCCTAAAGTTTGTTATTTTAAACTCTCCTACTCTCACATTGTTCTTCTTGGCTCGGACCAGCTTGGCCCAACTAAATTTATTGCCCTATTATTAACTTGAGCGTCAGAGTGCCTTCCCCTTAGCGCGCAACTCCGTCCTTCCACTTTGGCCTCACTTAGTTGGTAGGACTATCTGTTGCGTGTTCAATTCACATACACCTCGGATAGGACAACATCATTATGGTCGGGTTGGATTGATTTTGATCGATTTACACACGGCCAAACCAAACCAAACCAACCTAACATCTCAGATTAGCATAACGCTTGAACCAAAAATAGTTAAAAACCGAGCAACTCAGGTCAAATTGGATTGGGTTGGTCAATTTGTTGGGTTTGATCAGTTTTATGAACAGCCCCCTACAATGAAACAAGTCTCATGGCATTCCACACTTTAACATATCACGAGGAATAACCTATTATGACTACCAAAATTATTGTCTTTCAACGATACAAAAACATTAAAGGGGGCGAAAACGAAAGAAATTGTCCTAGAGCATGCTTGGCTAGAAAATGGGCTGCAATATGGGGTAGGGTATAAGAAGATGATAATGTGAAGAAGAGTCCTGCAATCAACAATAATTGTGTGAATTCGCCACGGAGCCTCAATCTGAGTCTGAGGGGTCCAACATTGAGCATTCCCCCTCAAGAACAAAGTGGGAGATCTTCAAATCCCTCTCTAAAGGCTTTAAGGCTTTAGCTTCAGTTTCTTCAGAGGCATTCTATGCTAGCTCTTAACAGATTGAGCAAAAAGAAAATCCCCACCATGGTGGAACCAATCCCAGAAGTATTAAGGCTCACCCCCGATCTGATAGAAGAAATGGTAGGAAGATGAGATTGAATTCGTTTGTTCAAGCTTGAGCTTGGTCACTTCAATAATTTGTTTGACATTGGGCTTTTAAGATAGTTTGGCATCAATCTTGTCAACAACAGCTTTGCATCTGCAATGCCACATTATAATTGCACAAATACTTAACAAACTTAGAGTCTGTCTATCTTACCATACCCTTTTCTCGTAGAAGAAAATTTCTATTCATGATTTTGTTGCTACTTGCTAGAATTCCATATTATTATTCAACTAAACTTTAAAATCAGGTGTCGTGCAAGGGTTTCAACTTTCAAGCAGTGAGGCTCCACTAGTAAATGATAGTACTAAATTATATATATCCAAATTTTAAAAATATAAAATCATGTAAATGATATTGGGCCATTACATAGCCACTCAAAGAACAACTGAATAATCATGTATTAACATTCATCTAAGCCATGCCATATATACATACATACATATATATATATATACACTAAATCAACACAAAAATAGGTTATAAAAATAAATGATCTCTGATGAGAAGAATTAATCTTGGCCATTGATTTATCTAGGTTTTAATTATTCATGACCATTCAAGTAGAGCTGTAAAGCGGTCCGTGCCACTTGCAGGCCAAATAATTGGACAATGCCAATACAGCCCGTGGCCTAACACGACACTGACCATACATACATATATATATATATATATAAAATAATATATTAATATGTATATAAATTTTTATTTGTATTTTTATTATACTGTTTTATTCTAATTTTGTTGTAATTTTTTTAAATTTCATTTTATTATATTGTATATAAACAATTATATACATCATAATTCATATAAAATAAATTTTTAAGATTCTTTTATTTCTTGTCTCTCATGTTAATTTATTTTAATTTTTCATTATTTTTTCAATTTTTCTAAAATAAATCATGTCGGACCGGCATAGCCCCTGTTACACCTCTACATCCAAATAAAGCATGGAAATTTCATAAAATATTGAAAAGGGTAAAATTATGATGTATCAAACAACAATTAAAATCTGGGCCATCAAAATGACATTCAAAGGTCAATCAACTAGTTCCAACCATTCAAACGATGTACAAAATTTCATCCAACGTAACCCATCTAAATGATGATGCATAAAAGCCCGAAGATATGGGCCATTGAAGAGGTCTCTTATAATTGGTGAACTAATCTCAATCATCCAAAGTGATGTATCAAAATTTCCTGAAAACCGTCCAGGCAATTGGTTCTATTTTACCCTAAATTTGGAATCTGGTAAAAAACAGTTGAAAAAGTCAACAAACTATTGACTCGGGCGGTTGAATCATTGAATCGTTCAACGGTTTTTGACCATTTTTTTTATTTTTTTAATTATTTTTAATTTTACTGTCAGAACGGGTCATTGATTCGAACCGGACGATCGAACTGTCAACCTGAAAACCAGTGGCCAAAACGATTCTATTTATAGGTTGTTTTTTAAAACATTCATCCAAATCATGTACTGAATCAACCAAAAAATCAGGGCTATCAAAATGGTCTCCTAATATCGAAGGCTTAATCTTGGCCATCCAAACAACGCATCAAGATTTCAGTTGATCTTGATCTTGGCCTTTCAACTAAGGCACCAATAAGACTTCTGAAAATCTATGTCAAATAAGGTAATGAACAAAATAAGCCAGAGATTTAATTCTATGATACTGAAAGGCTATGATATATGAAAACATGGTTTTTAAAAATGGCCCAGAGACCGAACTGGTCAGGGGTCCGGTTATCGGGTCAAACGATTTGAATGATCGGCTTATTCTGATAAAAAAATTAAAAAAAAAATAAAAAACGGTCAAAACCATTCAAACAGTTAACCACCCAGGTCAACGGTTTGCTGACCAAAATCAACAGTTGTTTTGGGCAGATTTCCGGTTTTGGAGAAAACCAAAGCCAGTCACCTAATTGGTTTCCGATTTTTCTGGTCCAAACCGTCTGGTCCGGTCCGATTTTTGAAAACCATATATGAAAATGTTAAACAATTAAAACCCCATCCGAATATGAATGAATTGGTTTTTTATGTGTGAAACTTCTTCATTATCACAGTCAAACTCCCAAATTGTTTATTGAGATTTCTAACTAATCCATCCATTCGAATGGGATATCAAATCAACTAATCTAACCGACCAAAGTAGTCTCCTAAGACCTATGAATTAATCCCAACCAACCATTGAAGTGATACCAAGATTTTAATTAATCTAGCCTATCAAAGAAATATGCTAAATCAACCCAAAAATCATAAAGGTTGTCAAATTAGCCTCTAACAGTGGATTAATCTCACCTATCCAAGTGATGTGCCAAATTGACTAAACATTTGGTTTCTCACTATATGGAGTTAGTTATATGAATCCTGTTCCCTTGTATCTGTTAGGTTCTTTGCAAAGACATTTTAAATAGTATTTATTTGTACTATAAAGGTGGTAAGTCTTTGTTTACCAAGTACAAGGGTACTTTGTGCTCCTCATCCACCGGCATATGGAAGAGATCAATTCATGGGTTCTGTAAACGTATTTAATTGTTTAAGACATTAAAGGGCAATTTAGTAATTTCAATCTACGGTAATGTCTATTAATAATATTTTATTTATATGACAGTTTTTGAGAGTTTAGATACTGCAGCGACGTGTTGTAAAGTAAAACCATCCATAAAATAAAATACAATGTACTACTATGCAATTTATCCAAAAATTTTTATCATGAATCTAATATAAACATGATACCTGAAAGACCAAATAGATTACCACTTGATTGATTAACACTTTTCTAATACGGGTTGATTGGTTACTTCAACTATCAAGTCTTTTGGGTATCATAGCCGAACCCATACTATGTTATATATACATTTATAAGCTGAGCAATGAGTGTAAGCAGAAATGTTCATTCCCTACACAATATGCGTGGTAACCTGAATGTACTTACAAGTTAGGACAGATTGTGATTTTGTGACTTGTGAGACATTTATACCTTAAAATAGACCGATCCAATGGTATCCAGAGCCCAATCCAACCCAATTCATTTAAATCCACGCATTTCCAGCCAGTTAGGTAATGGTTGGATGGTTGGGTTCGGGAAGATGATAAGTGGGTTAAGTCTTGAATGCATCAAACTGGTTGGATTGGAGAATTGCAATCTGAATGAGGGAGAAAATAACTAGAAAAGCTCTGTATTGTTGGTTTCACTTTCACCCTCAAATTTCTGTGATTGGTCAAACAAATTTTGATTATCCGTATGGTAGTCAATCAGATTGCTCCAGTGAACTTATCACTATCAGAGTTTTGGAGGTGATAGATCATCATCAGGGTTTGGATCATTTGTTTTCATAGTTTAAAGCAAGACAGAGAGACTCAGGCACATGAGTAGGTACCTTAGCCCTGTCATGTGCCAGCTCAATGATCCAATAGAATGGTTTTGCTTTTGCAGTACCCGGACCCTCATCACCTGCCTCCTCCTGTGTTCTCAAACCCAAGACTCTCCATTGAAAAAAAGGGGAGGGAATTAAAATAATAGTGGCTGATGAATTGCTGATGATGATGGCTGGGTTGAATGACTGGTTGCTTTGTCTTTTGGTGAACAAGTTAATTAAAGAGGGAGGTTGATAGCTCTGGCTGCCGTAATTTCTTCACTCCACACGACACATAGCCATTGATTCTTGGTCAACAAACCCAGAAACTTTTATATTTTCAAGAACTAAAAATGTTGTCATAAATACAGGCCCAGTAGTCCAGTACAATAATGTATATGTGAAGCTTGGCTGCCACTGCCAGAGAAAGTTTTCTGTTTGGCCTTTGAAGATTGGAGATGAAGAGCAGCAGAGATAGTTCAAATGCAAGCAGATTCAGATTTCGAGGTATCCATCTATATATCAAAATACAATGCCAAATCAAAGGCAGTAGTAGTATTGGGCATAATCAAACTTGCTGAATCAGCAGGCGGTGAAGTAGATAAATCCCTAATCCTATAAATTTCGTCAATCCATTTTATTTAGTGTGATAGTATTTAAATTATTTCTACCCAAGTCCTTTTGGTTTATCCCCGACCCTTTTAACCTCTTCAACTTGCAATAAATCATTTCTTTCCATTGGTACTATAATCAGAATTATTTCTCATAGAGCGTATCACAATACGTTCCAGTCATGTATTTGGAACATCTCCATAATCATTAATTTTTATTCATAGGAAAATTCCCAATGCACTATGTGTAGGGTCAGTGTGAGAATATTTTGTAAGGAGAAAATCCAAACTCATTCCAACAAAGTATGAGAAATAAATTAATTGAATTAAAATGAAAGTTATAGGAGGAACACCCCCAGTATCTAATCTGCAATTCCAACAGTCCATGACCAACTGGGACGCATACAAGAAGAATTAGATGCAGTTTGCAGCTGCAGATGACAACTGATCTGCATGAAGACGGACATAACAACATGGTCAACCATGCTATATATCAGTCGGAAATCGCTTCAGTGCTCACAAGATGGGAGTGTACCTGTTGTGTACAGGGCGATGGTATTGCGTTATCAGTGACAACATCAAATATTCCATATTTTATGCATTCGCAGTGTTCTCTGGAAAGAGGTGACATGACAAACCAGTTGGGATCTGTGTGGATTATGGGGTTATATCGTATGAATATGTGCACTCTGAAAAGATTGCATGATCTTGATCTTAGTATGGAAGCCTATTTAAAGATAGTTAATTTGTGAAGAGTATTGGAGGCATTTGATGAAGGATTGATAGGCAAACTTACTTGTGTCATAGGAGTGCTAGCTTTGGACTCGGCTGTTTTATATGAGATGATGTGTGTGGTCCATGTCTTTGGTGAATATCGAGTGTAAGAGAGTGTGGTTTCTTACCCCTGAAAAAGTAGCAGCATGTCCTAATTCCTCGTTAAATCATTTTTAGTGCATTGGTGAGTTCAAAATCTAATATAAGAACCGAAACTTTTCAAAGCTTTGAACCTTTGGCCGTATATTAATTCATTCTTATTGATTAAGAAAGATTTTTTTTTTTTTAAGTTTGATGTGACCATTCTTACAAATGGTTAACTTTGCATAGTTTACCTTTTCCTTTGGATAGATGCTAAACTTAAACGAACAAAAAGCACACCCCTTTACCCGTTCAACCCTGCCCAAAAGCTTAAACAAACAAAACAATAGAAAATTACAGCAACAAAAGCAAAAGCCATTTATATAGGAATCTTCATACAGTTCCTTCAACAGATTTTTGAGGTCCCATGGAAAATCCTGAGTTGTATTAAACATCTGAAATCTCCCCTCAAATATGTCCACATTAGCCCAGAAATTAGTAAATATATTCCCCTCAGGGAGTGAGTAAACCTAATTCTCATCGAATCATACATCTCCCTGATATATTTTACTATTTTAGAGCATCAGTAATATTCAATGGAGAGGAAGCCTTCTCAAGAATGATACCAATTAAAATCTTGTTATCACCTTCAACCTCTACTTCAGAAATACCATTATTGGGGCAGAGAGACAAACCATCAAGAAGAGCCAAGCATTCAGCCATAATAACAGTTCCAGTGCATGGTTTTAAATTAGAATGCAGTGTATTAAATAAGTTTTACTTGTGTTAAAGTTTCATATAAATAATTTTCAATTAATTTGTTCATAAAATAAAATGCCAAAGTCCTTTTTGATCATTTTTTAGTTTAATTTATTTATACTATTCAATATATAATGCAATCCAAATTCAATTTGAATCCAACATAAATCCAATGGTTAAGATTCAACTTGATCTCAAATATAAACGAATCAAATTAGGATCCGTCCATATCCAATTCAATCTGATCCGTTTTTACCCTAGGGCTGAGTTTGGAATGAACCGAGATGGGCTCATGTTGGACATGAGTTATTACCAAAAGGCTTAACCCAAGCCCAGCAGAAAATTAGATCAGGCCCGAGTCTTCGGGCCCAGGACGAGCAGAGCTTGAAGACTCTTAAGCTCTCAATCTACGAATACATCATACATGCAAAAAGCTCAACGTTGCAGCCCTACGTTCTACTTCCAGTAATAAAATAATTTAAAACTTGAAACAAAAGTGGTCCGGAATTTGAACTTCCATTTGTCCTCCCATGCATTTGTATTGGTCCAAATGAAATTTGCGTTACAAGGGAATCTAAAGAGCATAAAGTCTCAAAAATTCTTTGGCATATGCTTACCAAAGAACAAAGACCTTAGCATAGGTGGTAAGGTAAAGCTTCAAATTGATTCCACAAAGATCAAGAATGCCTATAAATTTCCTTTTATTCAAAATATTACAAAAAAAGATTCTAAATGAGGTCAATACAGAAATAGTTTACAAAATAGCCTGCCAGATTCATTATAATCAAAGGCATATATATAAAGTGGATACTTGAGAAATTGACCTTACATCACTACAAGAAAATTCCAGTAATCAAATCATTGGGGATTAATTCTCTAAAGACCTATGATTCAAATTTCAATTAAATGGACAAAAACAAAAATAAAAAACAAGTAATCAGTAAACTCTCCCCCCTCAGACTCCCAACATTTCAAGAGTCATCGTCTTTCCCCGTACAGTATCTCAATCTGTCTGCATAACAACGCACAATAATGTCAGTATCATGCACCCAATTTTCACGTTTCATAGAATGAAATAAACATCAAACATCTAATTGTAGAAAATCAATACTGTTCATTGACCATGGCAATTTTCCCTCAAAAGTAGCAGTTAGTAGATACCTGCATTGTTAATAATCTTACACACTATACACATGCATTACACGGCCATCCCTTCCTTAAATTCACCGAATATATCTGGGCATCCATCCCATCTTCTTTGCTCCCTTGCTTCCCAGTAACCGCCCACATAACGATAAGACCCATTCTCACCATCTTTCTCAAACCATCTTGGCTTCCAACCATTTTCTTGTAATTTCCTGGACTGCATTAATGAAAAATAAATAAATAAATGAAACTTTTCAAAAACTTTTGAATACTAGAAAGAGCAACCATCTATGTGCATCAATTGTGAAAGAAAATCCCGAACTGTACGAAATAAAGGTGCACCCATATACATCCCAAGATACAAGTCTCTTAGTAAACCACATGTAAAATCTCTCGTTAGTAACCACTACTACAGACCCGTGTTCTCTACTGAATTCCAAGTATTATATGCGACTTTGGAGGAATATTCAATCATCAGTCTGAAACTATGGTCATTAGACAGATAAGTCTGTGAAAGAAGAGAGACTAACAAAGAGAACTAATGACAAACTAATCAGCAATTACAGCCGTTGCGAGGAATATGTGAAACATATCACACAGAAAATGAAAAACAGGTGCAAGATGGCAGACATATTTGAACAGCAAGGATGATCTAGATCAATCTAATCCATCTTACACATATGAAAGAAATCTTGCATCAATTTATCAAAATAGAAATAGTTGCCAATTTGGAATAAAGATAACACTGTTAATAGGACCCAGAGACCAGAACTAAATCTTGCATTCTAATACGTATCAAAAACATTCACTATAATGATGGCATTATGTTTCTGCATTAAGAAAAGATACATCAATAATGGCAATGCTTCACTTGGCTTAATTAATGAGATAAGAACATATCTTTTCTACGAAAATGCCCTAAAAATGAGAAGAAAATGTTCTATTGCTCCTTGCTCAAGAGTGCATAGATTTTCAAGAATAATATAAGTAGTACGAAAAGTGAACCATCTAAGGTTCGTAGGCATTTGGAGAGCCAAGATTGATGAACATGTAAACCATACATCTGAGGCTAATTATAGGAAATTTAGCAAAAAGCTTATTTAAAAAAAAAAAAGGCTCATTTCAAATTCATGTTAATAAAACCATATAGTACAAAAAGTGGTACCGCACATACCATCCTCTGCCTCTGCTCTAAACGCAACTTCTCTGCATTCGCCCTCTCGAATTCCCCATTCTCTAGATGCCGTTGATCCGGTCTAAGTCTTGAATCCGTGGGTGGAAGTTTCTCCTTAATCCGTGATCAAACACTCGGAATCAGACAGAGCTAAAACAGACAATTAGAGATGAATAAGAAAAAAACAAAGTAGATTATAACACAACTGATTTCATACATAATCTCTACCTGTAGTCCGGGTGTCAGTTCGTTCAATGTGATTGCAAATGATGTTAAGTTGTACCGAGTGAGATTAGGAGGTGGTTTGCTACTTTTCCATAAAAGGGAGGCCCCTGATGGCAAATTACTACTCCTGGACTTGGCAACACCATCACCACTGATGTAATGCATGCTATCATCCCACTTTCCAAATAAGGTGGCAACTTTATTCCCCACGACATCCTCAACATATCCTTGCACCTGTACAGCACAACCAGGCACATTCGTAACTCTGCAAGTTGCAACTTGATGCATCCGGGTGCTAATAAATAACAGGATAAAGCACTAAGGTGGCAAAACATGAAATCTTGTACTCCACCGCCAGCCATCCATGCAACATGCCCATGTGGGGAGACATGCACCACAAGATTTGAGAAAAGAGATGAAATGGAAGAAAATCGCGTGGATAAGATGATACCACCATCTATCTGCCTCAAAATAATATGATTGGTCTATTATTTGTAATCCATACAACCCAATATATGTCATATGACCAAGGTTCAAAATTTCGATACAATACGCCCCGTATCAGTGGCTTCACGATACGCCTATTTACAGATGTTTCAGGAACCGGCCTCTTTTTAATTAAAAATATGGTTAAAAATAGGCCCAAAAACCAAATTTTGAAAAAAAAAAAACTAAAAAAACAAAAAGTGTGTTATTTTAAGTACCGATACGCCCCTGCCAATACATAGGGGCGTATTGATATTTTGAACCTTGCATATAACCACTGAATTTCCCTCAACATTAGCATGCACGCAAATGGGATGGCAAATAGGCGAATACGCAAGGCCTCTCATGCTTCCTCACCTTGAGATCTAATATCTCCTTGTTTACCTGGTGAGGATTACGGTCAAGGATGGACTGTTCTTTGAACTTGAGTTTGCAAGAATATTGACGGTTACCCTGTATATGCATTGTCCCATGGTGATCACAATACACTTTACCAAGGATGAGATTGTAGATACTTGTTGTGACCTGAAAATGGCAGATACGTTCTAAATATTCATTTTATAAGGATTAAAAAGAGAAATGACAGACGAAAACCACAAATACCTTGCTCCACTGGAAGATCTCACCATCATCAAACTCCAGGGTCAACACACCGACAGGATCAAGCTGAATTGACCTCCCCCAAAATTTTGTCCTTAGGTTGCTGTCACCCCAGATTTTCCATCCTTTGCCTTCACAGTGGCAGGCAATAACCGTAGGGTGATGACTAACCTATGTTACAAAATAAGATGGAATTACAAATTGGCATACAAGATTATAAACAAAAATGTTAAAGTTAAAAATCAATATAATGTCAAGTATATAGACACAAAAGGGCAAATGGTGTATGAAGCATTTGCAAAGTGCAACTGCATATGTAGAACTTACCAGTCCATTCCTATTTTAGGAACACTTTAATAATGCATCTTTATGTGTATATGTGCAGCTAAAAAGGTTGTTAGATACTGACCTTCTCAGAGAAGAAATGAATCCCTTTATCAGGGTAATCAGCTTCATAGGTTTCTCCCAACAAAGGATTGAAAGGCTTGCAGTGTCGACCCTCAGAGGAGGCATATCCAGATACAGCAAATGCAGCCACATTCAGAATTCTTAGAAGACTGTTCCCCTAGAAAAACAATACAGGCACCATTTGAGCAAAATGATGTGAAATGTCCGCAATTAGCCATGCAGCAAGTTAAGAACCTTTTCCTCACCAAGATTCAAAATCTTTGAACACATTTGAAATTGTTGCATTGTACAATAAAACTACATGCATAGAGAGAAAATGCAAGAATTTCCATAAAATATGTAACTTTGAGAAAATATTAATCCTGGCCAGTAACATGGATAAGGTAATAACCATAAACACAAGACAGACACACCAAGAAACTAAACAAATGCCAGAAAGAAGCTAAATCAACCAATCTATTATGTTACCTTCCACTTCCTTCCTCACAGATAAAACATAAAACCAAATTAAACACATGATAATTTGAAAGACATATCAATAATAAATTTCAACTCAATCCAAGGGCAGCCCAGTGCACAAGGCACCTGCCAATAAGGCGTCCGGGGAGGGACAAATGTACACAGCCTTACCCCTGCACAGAGAGAAGCTGCTTACAAGATTTGAACCCTGGTCACCAAAGTCGCAATGGAGCAACCCAACAGTTGTGCCAAGATCCACCCCTCCCTCTAATTAGTGAATAATAACATGAGCTGTCTTTAAAATTGAGCTTATGAAAATACGATGTTTTAAGCTAAATAATATCAAATGAATTAAAATTCAAAAATGAAGATAATGGGAACTCTTAAGTGCTAACAAATGTCAGATGTCCAAATACAAAATATGGAAAAAGCAGAAGGCCCACCATATATACCAATGTAAACATAATCCTGTAAAACCACCAATTGCATTGTTACTTAAAATTCAAACAAGTATAATCAATCCAATCATCGTCAGAAATAACACATATTATGATACAAACACCAAAAGGGGAGAAAAAGGAGGTCAAACATTATCATCCTCAAGAGAATGCCAAATCAAATCCTTTTTTATTGAACCACATAACATAAAAATGTAAATGTACATCACGAATGACAAAAGGCAGAACTTAGTATAAAACTTGCCTTTTTCCCATAGACATATGCTCGATCCAGAAGATAAGAGTATTCCAAGTCCTCAAAGCATTTCTGCAGAGATGATATTGGCTCATTGAAGTAAACTGGGAGACATACTCTTGTGAGATCCTTTCCAACATTGTCTTTGATCATTGACCAAAGGCTAACACCTTTCTCTTTCTCAACTGGAACAGGAAGTTTCTTTCGCCTTTCAATGTGAGGGAAAATGTAGTCAAATTCTTTCTCAGGATGCACCTTCTCCAAAGTATCCAAGGTGTTTCCAGGTATCATACAGCTCAACACAGTGTTTTCCATTCCCGTTACAGACCAACAATTAGAAGGAGAATCACTAAAATACTCGCTAGTGTCAAAAAAAGAAGTCTCTTCATCCTCTGAGATTTCCTCGAGCTCTTGTTTTTCAATATCATCAGATGATTCAGTTGTGCTGTATTCTGAATGCCAAAATAATGTCAGCCAAAAGAGAAGACAGGGAATAAAACTTTAAGATACCAATAAATATTAAGAAACATCAGTAATTGATAGAACTTGGCAGTAACTAAAATGACAACTTTGACAGAGAAATCATAAAACACAACAAACCTAAAATTCAAAATTCCAGGAAAGACTCAAATTGGCAAAGAAAATCTATTTCATGATCATATTCAAGTACGAGTGTCAAATTATGGGTTTCAACTGTACAGTTATTGATCTAGTCTGTATGGCCTGCACAGCTAACTAGTCCCTTGACTATCCAATGCTTTGATAACACTATAAAAGTAAATCATTATCCCTAGTAATCAGAAGGCTAAGAAGGTGCCAGATAGCTTTCTGGTAAGGTCTCTGGTTGTTTGTATAAGAGACTTGGAACAGACGGAGAGGCACAGATTGGGAATCTAGACATGTCTCTACATGCATATAATTGTATATTGACATTATGAAACACCAGAACTTCAAATAACAGTTGCCAAAACTTATGTGGTCCTTCAAGGGCTTAAGAGGTTAGTTAAAACTTAAAAGGTATCTCAGCTACTTAAATGAAAGGGAGATGATATCATTCAATTTCCCCTGGGAGGGCTCCTTAGAAAAACCACCATCCACCCTGTTGTAGATTGATGATACAAGTAACAAACATCATATTAATGGCAAATTTAAAAGAGATTCCAGAGATCAGTTGGGATTCAAGGGTTCTTCTCAAGGCTAACAGGGATATATTTTAGCTTATGGGGGCCCCATATCATAAAAAAAGCTCTCCCTTGGGTGCTCAAAAAACTAAGAATCCTGCCACCTCTGCAGGTACCTAGGTGTCTTTTATACCTCTTATTGTGATTTACGAGAATTGGGTGAGCATAGATGCCTAAATGAGATGGATTTCTATGGACTTTAATACTATAGCAGATGGTCCAGCCAATTCAGAATAATAAGGGTATTAGGATATTAACAGTTCCAATCCCACAGATTTTTGCAACAAGGGGAACCCTGCCCATAACTCAGGACAAAGCCTAGGTTTAGTATCTAGAAACTGCCAATAGAATACAAGAATAATTATTACAATGAAAAACAAAAAGGGGAAATTGTGTTAAATTAAACAACATTCCAGAAACTTCAATTGTTTCCCCCTTTATCACTATAGTAAATGGAAACACAGAAAGGACATGAAGAGATAAACAAATACCACTATATTTTCCATGTCCAAGGCTTGAAAATTCATGCTTTGTTAGCTGGAACTGGCTTTCATGTATTCCAGGGGTCTCAACTTCAATGTTAGCTGCCTGCAAAACAAAACCAGTTCTTTTATTCAACAAGAAATAATCTTCAACAAGTAGATAAAATGAAAATTACAAAACATGAAGGACTGATAATGAAATATTTTTAATGGAAAACCACGTTCAAAAACTAGTCAGAATAATTACCCTGTGAATATGCCTAAATCTGTAACCTCAACATTATAACTTATCTATTTACAAAACAAGAATATTGATTCAAATGAACAACATCAATGCTAAAACAGTACAGGGAACTATAGCCATCTTGCCAGCTTTGCAGGTTACCATGAAAACCATGCAATGCTACACTTTGGCATGAAGATACATAACAAAAGCTTAAAAATTCACACTCACAATAAAGCAATGCTACCCTGAAACTAGAAGATACATGCAATGGAAGATATGCAAGTTGCATGCATAAATAAAAACCATCCAATGATACTCTGAGACTAGAAGACACATACAATGGAAGATGCAAGTTACATGCACAAACAAAAAACCACGCAATACTACTCTGTGGCTTGAAGATACGTGAATAAAAGCCATCATGCCAACTAATGAAAGATATGAAATCCTGCCAAATAGATGGAACAATTTAATTCCACATGGAATTTAAACTAGATCTACACCACTCCAAGGGAACTAACACCAATAACAAAGTAGGGGAAGGACCTAAACATGAATCCATATTACAGGGCATCCAAGAGGGGTGACAGCCACCTCACAGTGCAAAGTGGGGGGGAGCAACTATGGGGTTCAAAAAACAGGAAACCAAGCACATGAAATATGCATTTCTAACAATGTTACACTTTAAATGGATCCAATTTGACATGTCAGAGAGAGCTTGCAGAGACAAAAAAATATTTCAACATCTGAATTAAAAGAATTAGGTTTTTCTTTTACCCTTCCACGGAGACAGATTTTGTTTAAAGTAATGCTGACTACTAAAGTGAGGGAAGTTATTTTCCCCACAAAAAAAAAGCAGTAGGATTTTCTTTTCCTTCTAAGAAATATAGAATAGGGAAAGGGGAAATAAAAGGAAAAGGAAAAGGAAAAGGAAAGAACCTACCTTAATTGACAGGGTCAGTACTTATAAGGAGATCCGTGAGGTTCCAGGTGAGAATTTAGTAAAATTACATTCCTGATGGTCAGTTAAATTTACACCACCCAACATTGGTATGTAGAATAAATAAAAACGATAGTAACAATAAAAAATGAGTCCACAAAAAATAAATAGAAAGCAGTTTTTTCCTACCTCATCCAACTAATCAGTTAAATTTACACCACCCAACATTGGTATGTAGAATAAATAAAAACGATAGTAACAATAAAAAATGAGTCCACAAAAAATAAATAGAAAGCAGTTTTTTCCTACCTCATCCAACTAAAGAGAGCATACCAGAGACATTGTGCCATCCTCCTAAATATTTTACCTAAAGTATGTCACAACAGCATCGGTAACAGATTCAATGTAAATGTCCAAACAAACTAAACAAGCATAAAAAAACTTAAAAGCCCATTGATGTCTTTTTGATACTGAACCTGATGATATCTATGATATAAATGAAATAATAACTCAAATTATTAGGGGCTTCCAACCTCCAAATAACAACCTAGAAGTACCATAAGTTGTCATGTGGAACAAAAAATATAATCCTTTGAACAAAAATATCATCTTAATTTGATGATAATCTTCGTATTTGTACTTACTAACATCTGAATTGCCAAACTTCAGAAAACTTCATGAAAATACACCAGAGAGGGTATAAATACAAAAAGCATGCTTCCATTCCCATTATATAAATATAAAAGATGCCACTATTTTCTAAAACGTAAGTGAGCAATAATAACATTTTATTACTTCACTTCCAAGGGCATAGGTTTAAAAATAATAGAAATTAAAATACCTCCAGCTGTCTTAATGTGTCAAGCAAATTAGATCGTTCTTCACAAAGAACTTTAAATTGTGCTTGTAACTCTGAAAACTCTGACAGCATAATCTTCTCACATTCCTGGATAACTATCTCACTGGTTCCCTCTTCGAGCAAGCGACTTCTAAGCTTCTCCGTTGATATGGATAAATCATTAGGAACAAGGGAAAGTTTATCATTCAATGGTCTCAGGGAAAATAGGTTCCTTGAAGAGACTAATGCATTAATCCAAGATACACGATCTTTCTTTGAATCAGTTCGGAGATGAAGAGTCTTCGTAGCAGTGAATATGTAGAATCGTCTATCATCAGACTTGCTCTCACGAAATGATGAAATCTGTAATAAAATAATTAAACATAGAAATTATTTAGCTTAAATCAAATCATACACTTGCGTAAACTGGCAAATGAAAATATATATCATCAGTTCATCACAGCAGAAGCTAATTGGGATGGTGATATTTGTATCATCATGAAAGACTTGCACTCCATTAGCAACATTTACCAGAAGTTCATTAGTTCATTTCCTAATAGATGATAAACGATTTGTGAAGTCTTTTTTTGCCATATCACATTGCACACAGGACAGGAAAACACAGATTAGAGAAAATTACAGAAATTAAGTTAATTCAATTGCCACTCCTTCAGTTCATGTGGCCTTTAGCGTTGCTGTCATAAAGGTACACTAAATAAAAGAATGTATACATTAACGGAACAGTGAAAAATTAATGTCCTGACAGGAAATTAACTGAAATATAAACTTAAAAAAAAAATCAATGCATAGCAAATTAAAAGTACAAAAAACCAGAACTAGAACCAACAGTATAAGTGGAACCTAGCAGAGATGAGCTACGCAATAAATCATCCTCCCAGAAACGAAGCCACTAGTCACATTTAATTCCAAAAAAAAACCTAGCTACGGTTACATCCTTCCACCGCAAACACAACGAATCCGATTGCCAATTTTAAGTAAGTGAGCATATTTGAATTTCCAGATTTTTTTTATGCTGTGGTTCAACTTCAACCCAATGGCTAACTGAAAGAGATACAGCACTCATGTTAATTCCAAACAACCTAGTTACGGTTACTTCCACCGCAGATAACGCAACGAACCCGATGTGTAATTTAAATAATTGAGAATATTTGAATTTCCAGAATAGAAGTTGTAGTTAAACCCGATGGCTAATAAAAAAGAAGGGGGAGAGGGGTGGGGGAGGGAAAGAGATACAACACACACTGCTCCACATTCTACATGCGATGGAGTCGAAAAGAAAAGGAAAAAGACGAAAGCTAAGAAATGATGACAAACTTGGAGAGAAAAAATGGATCAAGCTCATCCAGCTCTAGTCATCGCCAAACATCTGAGCGAAGACAGAAATTAAAAAAGAACGAAAGAAAGAATTGCTCGACGAACCATTCGAATAAAACAATGAAATGAAAGGACAGAGAAAAAATTCAGCTTCTCCGTTAGCGTCTATACTCCCAAAAGGCCAAAAGCGTGGACACCCAAACCAGGCATTTTATTTTACGTCTTTTTTTACTGAAAAAAAAAGAAAAAACACCCATAACGACAGCCCATCTCAATAAAAGCGGTAGAAACCCAGACTTCATCCCTCCAAGCCACTTAACCCCATGAACAGTAATAAAAAACAACGCAGATGCTCAACAAGACTAGACAAAAGAAGACGAAACCAAGGACACTTCGATATCACATAGATTAGATCCACCGCTCGTTTATGAATCACGACGCTTGACATGTTTTTCCTCTTTTCCTTTTATTTTCCTTTAAAACCAATAAAAAAATAAAAAAAAATAAAAAAGAGTAGAAGGGAGTGAACCTCACCGTCAAAACCCTCCACCAAAGAGTCCCCGCAGTAAAAAAAACACCTAAAAACTGAGGTTGACGAGAAGAGAAAAGTATGGAAAAAAGAGAGGCGAACACGCATTGGAAAAGATCGCCAGTTGCAACTCCGAAGAAACGCAGGAAATTAAAACCTGGAGATATCTACATTCATCAAAGCTGTGATGTGACCTGCAGCTGAGAAAACCCTAGGCCTACCTCATAGCTTATCGTGTGGCCTACAACCTCACCTGAAAACCTCACCTGCTGATGTGACCCACTTACAGCTTAACATGCAGTGAAACTGTAAAATAACCGGTTAAAAGCAAATGAGAGAGAGAGAAGTTGGATTGAGGAGGCGAGGGAACAGAGAAATATTTTTTCGGTCGTACCCGAAAAATACACAGCTTTTCTGTATTCGCAGATCACAGAAGAATGTGGAGGAACGACGAAGGAACCAATGGTTTATAAGCTTACGCTCAGTTATCTAAGCCTCTGTGGCAGAATGAGAAAAAGAAAAAGAAATTACAAAGAGAGAAAACGACGCAATTGGTAAGCCTTATAAATTGATTTGAATAGAGAAAATTTCTGATAATAGCAACTTTTTATCTTTCTTTTTTGGCGGAGCGCTGGATAACGGAGGCCTCCTCCGATTGGCGCCAAAATGGAATAACGCAGCAAAGATTTTCTCCGATTGGATGTCTTTAGTTATGGAGTGGTCGTTCGTAAAGAAAGCTTCTCTCTCTATCTTACCTTTAGATGAACAACACCAGTCGCTTTCTGTTGCTTTCTTCTCCCTACACTGTCAAGGCGTGAAAGGCGATCGGAAGAAACATCTCCGATAAGTCGAACGTCATCGCTCGTCGACAACATATTGAGACTCTCCGATCGCCGAATCTTGGAGTAAGAAAGGACGCCATTTCTCAAGCAAAACCATCGAGATCTCCATCCCTTACCGTAATTCGTCCACTTGTAAAGAAGCCCGGCGACATTAACATCAGATCCCGTCTCCCTTCCGACATAGCAGTCAGATCCACCGTAAGTGGCAGTAGAACCCCCCAAAAAACCGCTTCTCGTCGCGGAAACCTCCGGTGACCGGTCCCCGATCCCAGGGCTCTCCAGTGAGATGCAACACAAGGGATGCATTTCCTTTACCCGCATTCCGATCTGCAGATTCAAATTCAACAATCAAATCTCCAACTAAAACGAAAGAAATTGAAAACCGAAGCAGAGTGTTTGTATAAATATCGGATTCCTTTTTTCGTAGTAAAAAACGAAGAGCTTATTGAGAGAGAGAGAGAGAGAGAGCTAGTGAAAGAAAAACCTGCGAGAGAGTTCTGAAACCGAGCAGAACCCCAGTGAGATGGGGAGATGGGGAGAGAAAAAGAGGGAGATGTGATGAATTTGAAGATTTAATAAATAAATTCAAAAAAAAAGGAGTTGTTCTTTTTAATTTACGTAACAAATAATAAATTTATTTTAATAATAAAACATACGGCAGTCGCTGTGAAGCGACGAAGGACGGAAGGAGGGGCGCAGGGTGGGTGGAGGCAGTAGCAAGTTGCAACCAGCAACGCTAACGCTAGCCCCGTTGGCAGTATCGTAATTAAATTGCCATATAAGGGAAGATTCGTAGTAAGGGACTTGGCATCAAGGAAGAAGAAATTGATATAAATAAGCAAATGAAACGGATTTCGGGTTTCGGGTTCCCTTTTCGCCTACACTCTCTCAGTTGCACTAGACTGGTGACATGGTGAGGTGTGGAGGATGGATGCGGTGCGGGCCGGGTGGAGGTGGACTTGTTGAGTCGTGGTGTTTTTGGTGATAAAACACACACACACAGAGATCTCGTGAATTTCTCGTTTAGCTTTTTCAGGTCTTTATTTATGATTTCGTCGGCTGCGGGAGTCAAATTGGTGGACTTAGCATTTATTGCACAAAATCATGAAATGAAATGAGTCTCACATTTATAATGACGAAATTACCCTTCATTGATTAACCATTTCCATGATTATATAATTAATATATTGGAAATAAAGAGATGGAGCGTGGCAGAGGTCGAACGTCTGTTTCTTCTGACACGTGTCAGTGACAAGGGGGATCGATTCATCAGCACATGTGGCGCAGCAATCCGCACCGCGCGTCCATTGGATTGGATGCTTTATGCTTATTATTATTTTTCCCCCCTTTCACGCCCCGCTACTTTTACAAGGAAATACGCGCTACGACCTAACAACTGCTAACTCTAACTGCATATAGCAGAGTGCGAGCTTCTAGTGTTCCACACAAACGGTCGGTTACGTTACGTTTACGTATGTGGCCTTGCCAAATTTAACCAAATGCCCTAAACAAACAATCAATTTACAATTTTTTTTTGGATTTCCCCGTGAAAGAAAACGAAATAACCGTACTCCCTTCGCTTATAATTAAAAAAAACCGTACATGTGTAAGGATAGTTTTGTCATTGCATATATAAAAATAGATAATGATGGAATCAGGGAAATGAGAGAATCCAAGAAAATCTCGGGCATCTCGTTCCAAAACTGTGTCCCATTCTCACCCATCTTTTCTCGTATTGCTCGTAAATCGTAAGGGAGGTGGGAGTGGGAAAAAAATAAAGGTGAAAGCTCTTACTACAATGGACCGGGTTTCGTTGGACAAACGGTGTCGCACGAGTGGTCTAGGAACAGCCCCAGAATCTTACACGTGGCAAATCAGAGTGTAAAAACGTCATAATCTTGGGTCTTGGCTACTGGAATTTGAATTATTTACAACACCACCCTCTCTTGCTTGGATCGATGTGAAAGAAAAAGACTGAATGGTCCAGGGATTGACAGAATTGGGAACAGAAGAAAAAAATAAATGAAAATGTGTAATATAGGGCGTGACGTCAAATCGTTAGTGATGAAAATGTGTAATATAAATGAAAATGTGTAACCCAAAAACGTTACACATTACATTCCAACCGTATATTGGAAACATCTCATCTGCCAAATCCCAATGGCTTAAGGCAGAAGAGATTGATTGTTTAGTTAGTAAACCAAGTGAGGAATTAATTAAAGGTTCTTAGGACTGAAATAGCAAAAAAGTGGAAAGTTGAGGTGTACAAACCAAGTAACCATCTCAGCTTTTTAACAAACGCACTTTAACACGAGTTGGTTGGATGCTTGTCAAGTCTCTGAAGAATTCAAATCAGCCTCTCACCAGATTGCCCCCACATCGTCCTATAATACATTCCTGCTGTTATGATCATTTTTTATATCATCTATCATCGGGAGATATTCCCAATATACGGCTTGAATGTGCTGTAGGACGTTGTGGGGCAATGTGGTGAGAGGGCTGATTTGTTCTCGTCTCTGAAAGCGTTTACTACTGTAGTGATGAAGGAAGCACCATTAGAACTGAAGAGACGTCTATTCACTGTTTCAAAATTCTTTAATTTCCTATACTTCATCTCGGATGTAAGCAATTGCCCTCTAAAGACAACTTTGCACCGTAACACTCTATCTCTAATTCTCTATGGTTAAATTATTTCATTCAAAATAAATAAATAAATAAAAGAAACAGAGCATGTGCATCTCATGTGCTAAGCACTAGTGGCTAAGTGAAAAAGGAATGAAAATAAGTCTAAATTGTACAATAAATGCATGGTTTTTTTTTTTCCTATGATTATCTTGTTAGTCAAGTAAAGGAAGAGATATTGCTTAAAGGGATTGAATTGGACAAGTTTATGAATAATTGCATATCCTCTTATCCCCATTGGATCTGGGATCTTCCCGTCGGCCTAAACTAAAGTGATCGTGTCTTAATCTGACCAACTAATAATAATCCATGCTTGCTCCCTTCTCCCTGCCTTCTGATTTGACTAACAGAATATTGTGTCTCGAATTGAACTGGATCAATCAACAACCAAATCTGGTTTTGTCAAAGAAAACTACATCCACATTCACAAGATCAAAGTAGGGAGACAAGGAGATTAGGGGTTCGTCCCTCTTATGAAAAATCGTTTCATAAACAAGAGGCACACCATAGGGAACAACCAATTACCATTCTACACGAAACCCCACGATTCATCTAATGCCAATCACCTTTGTGGGAAGAGATGCCGATCTAGTAACCTGGTGAAGCAGCACATCATATTTCTCAAAGTTAATCATCGAAAGAATAAGAAGCCACATTAGGCAGGGGAAAGAGAAAGCCATACATCCAAGAGAGAGGGGTGTCAGGGCTTTGTGAGACCAAAACTATCTTGGTTCTCTCTCCCAGCCATGTGTTTAAAATATATAAAAAAAAGGGTGGGACCCAATCAGAATTCAGAGCTTAACATAACATGGTCTCTATCACATGTCACTTCTATGCTCCGTGATGGTCAGCCAAAACTTTGAATAAAAGTGTTGGATAAGGAAACACTAAATCTCACTTTTGCAAACATAAACAAACCAAAACCTTTTTTAACAAGGCTTTGCATTATATGTATAGTATTTTCCATCTTTACTTACCTTGCATTGATATATATGGGTCTAATAATAGTAAGGTTGGTTCTGAAAAAGATGATATAAAACTAAAAAGCCAAATAAGTGGTAGGGAGGTTTGGAAGGTTGCGGTGGTGGGACAGGCAGAGCCATGTGTTGAGAAGAGAGAATGACGCCTAAACTGAAGGAAGTGATGTCACTCCACTCATGCATCTACTGTTGCTCCTCCCTTCTCCCTATCCCTACTTGTTACTTGTTACCTTTAGGGGAGGAGTTAAACGACGACGATTTCTCCCGTTATTACTAGGAGGGTGTTTGGTTTGATTTTAGTTTATTGAGTAAATCATGTCATATAGGCACCTCATTAGCAAATGCCTTATTATGCGCATTCCTCTATTTTTGTGCACCTCTTCTTATTTAGAAAAATTCACTTTGGAGCTTCTTTCTACAGGTAAGTGTTTATTGACACTTTTGCTAATGTGATACTTAATGGCGTCTATGTGTCATAAATACCTTCATTAATTGCTTTTCTCAGTTTTGCCACCACAAAAATACAAAACGTTTACTCAATAAACATAAATGGAACCAAATACATACCAGGGGTCTGTTTGGCTTGTGGAATTAAGGTTTGAAATGGTTCGTTCTATTTTAAATGGTTGGTTGGGAAGAATCAGAACCCCAATTCTGCCTTGAATTAAGCAAGAATAATAGACCATTTTAATTCTAATTGTAATGGATTTTGGTTTTGATTTTAACTATAAATCAAACAGACCCAAAGGACATTTGTTTTGTAGTAAATGGGGGTAGGTCAATTGTGTTGGACCGAGTGGCCTATGGCCCTCAATATCATCTTGACGTGTAGGACTATCCATAGACCAACGGGAATAACCACACGATCAATGGAGTATTTGCTCTATGTGAACCAACATGCACACACAATCAATACCTATTTTTCTAATTATTATTATTATTATTATAAAATAAAAATTGTTTTAACTTATCTCTTTTAAACTTAGTCCACTAGAGTAGTTATTGGTTGAGAAAATGTTTCAACAAGCAAGGACAAATGTCTCATGCTAGTGGAAGCTAATCCCAACTATTTAGAGAGACTAGTGAATGACCCCGTACTAAATACGGGGAATCAATAATGTTAAATTTACATTATGGAATCAATAATGTTAAATTTATATTTATTAATATTTTTAAATATTATTAAAATTTCAAGAAATATTTATTTCAAAAAATAGTTTTTCAATAATTATTAGAATATGAATAGTTTTCTTTTGTTATGATACATAGAGGGTTAATAATTAAGCGAAATAACCACTTTTGCATTTTCTGCATTTTTTACAATAGATTGAAAATAGTGGTAGTGGGTTGTGAGCTTTAGCAGCAACTTCTCAGAAAATGTCACATGTCTAGCATTCCAAAAAACTGAGAAAGCCTTGTGTTTGAATGCTAGGGGGCTGTGACCTGGTAGTGGATTGTGGGCTTTAGCAGGAATTTCTCGAAAACTGCCACGTGTCTAGCTTTCTAGAAAATGAGAAGACCACTTGTCTGAATGGTGGTAATGGGTTGTGGCCTGTGGGCTTTAACAACAACTTCTCAGAAAATATCATGTGTCTAAATTTGAAAAAGCCACGTGTCTAAATGGTGGGGGATGTGTCTAAATTTGTGGACAGTTCATATCCATAGGAACAAACCCAACAGTTATAAATGGGTCTATAAATAGAACCCAAAATAGTGTGGAATATACTTGAGCTACTGACAACATATTTCCTTCTCAGCATAACACTCTCTCTTAATCTCTCTTATCTGGATTATTATCAATTTTTAGTTGTGGTAGAACATTACCTCCACTTTGAACTATTAAAGAAGTTTAGGCCCTGTGTTCAAACTTGGCACACGTTCCTGGGATATCACCAACACCACCACCTAAGCCTTTCAGTGGTATCGGAACC